TGGAATCATGACTTCTTGACCCGCATGATGACTTTTTGTTATTTCTGCTTTAATAACATTTTTGTCAAAATCTTTGCAAACCATTCTAGTTCCATTGTAAAGTCCATTTGATGGGTCTAGATTTCTAAGCAACATTATCGGGCAATTCTGCTTCAGCTTTAGTTTGTGCGGTGGAAGACCATTAGGCATCAACTTATTTAAAAATTCTTCTTGGTAGTAGTTATGTGGATCATCAATAGCCTTGTCAAAACTATGGAAAATAATCTCATCACCAGGAAATTTATCCAAAAGCTTGTCATTGAGCTCATCTACATATTCATTTTTGGTCGCAAGGATAGCTCGTTCTGTCATATATTCAGCTGAATATGCATTTTGCTCAATTGATGGAAATACTTGGTTTAACAATTCAACTTCCGATTTTCCATTTTTGCTATCTTCAATCACAATACTTTCAGGAAGTCTTATAAGTTCATCTTTAGTTGTTTTTTCTGTTCCATTTCCGACACGCAGCAAGAATTTACTGAATTCTTCATCATTTTTTGCTCGCATGTTTATTTTTAATGTTATCTTTTCCATCTTCTCCCACAAATAAGACATTACTAAGCTGGCATTAACTGTTTGGCTCCTTGTTCCTCTTGGAATAACTGGCAACACTTGACGAAAATCTCCTCCAAAAACTACTACTTTACCACCAAACAATTCTTTTGTACTCAATAGGTCTTGCATTGTACGATCTACACTTTCAATTTTTACTCTTTTTGCCATAGGTGCTTCATCCCAAATAATTAGTGCTACTTTTCTAATCAAATGTGCAGTACCTTCCTGTTTAGATATATTGTAAACTATTGTCTCAGTGGCATTAATAGGTATCTTAAAACGTGAATGTGATGTGCGCCCACCAGGCAATAAAGATGCTGCTACTCCTGAAGTTGCAGTTGCTATTGCAATCATTCCTTTTGATCTGACATTGGCAATAATAGTTTTGTACAAGAATGTTTTTCCCGTCCCTCCAGGACCATCTATGAAAAAAACTCCTCCCTTATTCATATTAACTCTGTCCATTATTATTTCAAAAGATTTTCTTTGATCTTCATTTAATTTGTACTTACCATCTATATCTTCCTGACAAACTTCAACATCTATCTCATCCTGTATGATTCGTAGATTGCATGATGGATTATCTATTTCATTCTCTTTAAATTTAGGTAAATCAAAATCTTGTATTGTCTTCCCCATGCTCTCTAGAAAATAATTAACTCCCTCTAATGCCCATGCGGTTTGTTCTGCATCTGTCGCTATAGATCTTTGAACGAAATCTTCAGACATTGCTGGTCTATATCTCTCCCATAATAATCTGACATTTGTTGGTTGACAATAAACCAAAATAGTTGCAAATAATCTTCTTAATGCGTATGGCATCTTGAAATTGACCGCTTCGTCCAAGCATTCGACTATACTATCGTCGGATTCTAAAAGTCCTCTTTTCTGTGCAGACTCTTTAAAAGTCTTCACAAGTAATCCACCAATAGTAAGTAGGTCATCCTAAGAAGTAGGACCTTTAACATGATTCAATAAAAGCCTTAAATAATATCTCTCCCCC